TCAAACAGCCACAAAGCCGCCCTCTGCCTTTGAACACTAGCCGGAACATCAGTTCTTCTGGGGCTTGAGCCTGACAGCTTTCAGAGGGGACCTACACCATCAGCTCTCCTGGGTCTCCAGAACTCACCCTGCAGATCTTGGGACTTGCCAGACTCCATGATCACATGAGCCAATCCCTTATACGAAGTCTCTTTACACACATACAAAGAGATCCTGCTGGTTCTGTTTCTCTGGACGTTTCCTAAAATGTATTATTTTGAAAAATCTTTTATTTTTAAAAATGTTAAACATACAAAAAAGTTGAAAGAATAGACAATGAACACCCATGTTCCTTTCACCTAGATTTGCCAACTGATAACTTTTGCTACATTTGCTTTCAGGGTGTGTGTGTGTGTGTGTATGTGTGTGTACACACACTTTTTTCTGAACCATTTCAAAATAATAAAGTTACAGATTTTATGACACTTCACTTCTAAATATTTCAGCTTGTCTCCTAAGAACAAAGACATTCTCATATGCAATTACAGCACACTGGTAGTATAATACAGTGTCATCCCCAAGGAATTAATATTGATGCAATAACATCTAATATATAGTTCATATTAAAATTTCCTCAGTTCTTTCCCAAACGTCCCTTATAGCCTTAAAAAAAAAAATCCATTATCAAGTCAAGGGTCACACTTTGCATTTAGCTGTCACGTCGCTTTAGTCTCCTTTAATCTAGAACAGGCACCCACCCTTTTTGGTCTTTCACAGCCTTGACATTTTTGAAGCATCCAGGCAGTTGTCTAATAGCGAGTCTGTTCTTAACATAGCAACCAGAGGAATTCTCGTAAAACCTAGTCAGATCACGTCACTCCTCTGCTCAGAACCCTGCAGCAGCTGCCGGACTCGCTCAGAATAAGAGCCAAAGTCCTTCACAAGGCCCACGTGTGTTCACACCCCCGCAATCTCTCCAGGTCCCCAGCCGGTCCTCCTTCCCTCTTCTCACAGTTACAGGCCCCCTTGCTGTTCTTTCACCATGTCAGGCAAGCTCCTGTGTTAGCAGCCTGGTCCCTTTTCCTAGAATGCTCTTTCCAGGATACCTGCTTGGTTTACTCCCTCACCTCCCTCAAGTCTTGGCTCAAATGCCACCTTCTCAATGAGGCCCACCTTAAAACCACTCTAACACTGCAGCCCACCCTCCCTACCCCGCTGTCCCACCCTCCCCATTCCCCTATTCCACTCT